ACCTCAGGGGCGCTCTCCGAGAGACCCAAGACATGACGAGGCACAGCTAGCCCTGTAGCCATGAGACTGTAAGAAGGTGGGTAAGTATTAGGCTTCCCATTTTACAGGGCATTAACCGAGATGGAGAGTGAATGTGATTTGCCCAAGGTCCCACAGGGGGTCTGTGAGAGAAGTGGAAACAGATCTCAGGGCTCTCAAAGCCCAGTCCCTGCTCTAATCCAGCGGCACTTGCTCCTGGTCTAATGCACCCTCAGGGTTCCAGCTCTGTAGCTGTTCCTCTGAGCACACCCGCGTGGGGAAGACGAGGGGCTGGTGGCATCTCCTCTGGCTGCGGGGAACGTCACTGCTGGTTCCTTTAATAGGGAACGTCAAGGGTCAGCTGCCAGGACCTGGGTGCAGGATTCTGTGTTGCTGCTGCCGTAGCGGAATGATCCCCCCCACCCCCTCCCCCCCAGGTCCTGGCAGCTAAGTCTAGGAGATGCTAATCCTGTTTGGCTGTGAGGTTGTTTACGGCGAGTGAGAGTCCTGCAGACAGTGATAGCCGTGCCCACGCAAGGGCTGGATAACTGTCAACTACCACCCCCGTAGCCTCCCTAAAAGGCACTGTGAAGCCCTGTCTGAACTGGGCTCTCTGCCTTCGAACTTTTCTCCTGCTCCTGCAGCTGCATTAATCTCTACCTGTGCCTGATCAGTGAGGTGGGGCTCTGATGTTCAGAGGTGTGCAGTTAGCATCTGGCTCAGCTTCGCATTCCCGGGTCAAAGACCCCCAGACGCTGGCCTAATGACACTTTCTCTCTGTCATCTAGGTTTATCTAAGGCACCCATCTTCATGGTCCCTGAGCACCCATCTCCTTCTCTGCCTTCTCCCTGGATAATGAACACTCATGACAGTATCTCTCCCCAAAGAGATGAACCACTTGGAGCCAACAATAGGGATATGGGAGCACTCCTGAGCTCTGGCTAGCTCATGTTCTCTCTCCCTCTTGTTGCTTGGCAGGACCCTGAGGGGGTCTGGATAAATGAGCAGACCTCTGAGAGCCTCTCTGCATGTCTCCCTAGGGGTTGTGTCTCCTGAGTGATTCACTTACCCACTCAGCTGTATTATCTGGCTGCAGATCCAAGGGCTGCCCTCCAGCCAGGCAGGGAGAGAGGCAAATGTTTGAAGGTGATCCTCTTTCAAAGGAATCCATCACTGGGCCAGTTACTTTGGGGGCGGGAGGGAGTTCTGGGCATTCTCTTCCCAGGGCATGCTTCCAAAGTAGGCAAAGCTAAGGCCTACAGGAAGAGTTTTCATCACTGTCTGGGCTGAGCCCTTGTTTGCCTGGAGGCCAGTGTGTTTGAGGGGGTAGTTGTTTGCTGCGGATGCTCGCAGTGCACAATAGCCTGCCTTTTATGTGTTCTTCCCAAGCGCATGAGGGAGTGCACACTGAGTGAACTAATAGCAGGAAGAAGTGGCTGTTGGCTCAGAAATCTCTCTCCTCCCCCCCATCCCGCCTTGCTTCTCCTGTCAAGGCTCTGCCACTGGACTTAGAAGGCAATTTGACTGACCCTAAATCAGCAGGGATGCCGTTCGGGGTAAACCAAAATCCCTGGCAGCCTGCCCTGACCTGAGCAGAGCTAATCTAGCCTCCAGCGAACTCACAGTGAACCCACACTGAGTCCCAATATAATACCCCTAGGTCAGATAAAGACCTACCTGCAGCCCCAGCCCATTACATGGGTGAGTAGTGAATTAATTATGGGGCACTTCCTGAGCATAGGCTCCAGCTTCCAAAACGAGCCCTTTGCAAGGGGCTTTCTGGCTCTTCCCAGGAGCAGAAATTTCCTGCATCCCAATCTGTTCGCTCCTTCCTGTTTGTTTCGCAGGCTTTCACTATGTAGTTCAGCAGCAAATGTGCATGAGAAATGTCCCCTCTGAGTCCCTAACTGGTGCTGTTGTGGGATAAGGGGATGTTCGCGGTGTCAGGGCTGTTTAGAATTATTGCTAATTGTTTGTGTTATGGTAGCCGCAACTGGCCCCAGGTGAGCAAGGCGCTCCATGATGCGAGATGCCCTATAAACACCTAGTAAAAGGCTAGCTCTGAAGAAGAATTGACAGTCGAAATAGACAAGCCAGACGGGGGTGGGAGAAAGGGACGTTAACCCCATGCCTGTATTTGAACCCCTTGCCAAGAGAAACCCAGAGGTATCATTTCCTAGTTGTTAGTCGCCTCCCAAGTGCTTCTCTCTCTAGGAGGCTGCAGCTAATGAGAGGCCCTGCCTCAGAGAGCCGAAAGCTTGATCCGGTGAGGACCAGGTCCTATCAGATGTTTTTAAAGCTGCTCTGCCCTCATTTGGAAGGGCGGGGTGGGGAGCTCAGCACCTTGCCCTGCACCGCGACCTCATTGAGATACAGAGCCATAGCTCTTAGAGACGGAAAAGGCCGATGGTTCCAGCTGGTGCAAAGCAGGGCCCCGTGGGAGGGTTCTTTACAGTCTAGTTCCCAATGCTCTGGCCACGGGAGCCCACCACAGTCTAATTGGCTGTGACAACTCTGCTGTGAGGGCCTGATTCAAAAAGCTATTGAAATGCCATGAAAAGGCTCCCATTGGCTTCAGTGGGCTTTGGAAAAGGCCCGTACTGTGTAGCACTCATAAGATGAAGCAAATAGTCTCCCCCTAGCCTTGCTACAGTGAACAAATTGCAGAGGAGTTCATCAAATAAGGCTAGCATTGAAGCCACTGGAATTTAAAGGTACTTCCTCTATGAAGATCGGCCCCACGCACTTCAGCTGGTTTGCTTAGAAACAGACATTTTTATCACCCCAACAGCAATTTCCTCCACATTGTGTCCAGCAGCCCGAGTGCAGGGGGGGGGGGCGGGGAGGAAGCAGGGGGGGCACCTCTTCCCAGCCCCTTTGTTCTGCAGAATTTCATTTCTTATGTCTGCGGAGGTTTCCTCCCCAACCTTTTGCTGCCTGGATTTATCAGTCCATTTCATCATGTTATACTTGGTCACCGACGTGACACCTCTGTCATAAATACACAGGCAGGGGCTGGGCTGGGTGCCTCTTTGTGAATGTGATGGCTGGGGGGGCGGGGGGAATGCAGAGCAAAAGAGGGCTGGAGCCAGCTGTTTGTCCGCAGCGCCAGCAGAGCGTGGGCATCAGAAGGGCCTGGCTGCCCCCCCTGAACTGTCCCTCAGGGTATGTCAATCTTAAACTGGAGGGACCATTTGAGGAGTGAGCGGGGAGTTCTGCCTTTGTGCTTGTTTACTCCTTGGCCTCTGCTGGGCCTGCCAGCTGGGGCACCGCGCGACTGCCAGTTACCCTGGGGTTTGTGATGGGCATGCCTTGCTTGCTAAAACTGTGCCCAACGTCCCCCATCCCCTCCCCCCACTACTCTCAAATGGCAAAAACTCCCTGTCACTGGTGAGCCTGGCTGGATGGGAACCAGGCTCCATAACCCATTATGATCACACCCTGAGCCAGCCGGGATTTATGACTCACAGCTAATACCAGGGACAACAGTCACACAAGGAGCCATTGAACTGGGGCGTGATCGATGCTGCTGAGTGCTTTGCAGCCAGCTCTCTGCACGGCCGGGAAATGTCAGGGTGTACCTTGCTCTCCGGTCCTGGGAGCCCGAGCCCAGCCCTGTGACAGGTGCCGTGTTCGGGGTCCCTTGTGTAGCTGCCATCCCAGGGTGCTAGATGATTGGGCTGACATTTCTGGGATTGGTACGAACACCCGGGAACCACGAGGAAGGGCATAGCTACTCCCAACGCAGCTGCGGTGGCTTGGGCAGCTGTTTCATGAGCCTGTCTCATCTGTGTAGGGATGAAGGGAGAGTGCAGAAGGGCTGGGGGGTTGCTGGTGAAGAAGCAGTGGAATGAAGTGGGGCTTTATTCTTTGTTGGGGGAAATGTCTCGATCAGGGCCCCGGGGTCCTGGGGGCTGCACACACCCAGTCCCTGCCCCACAGAGGCTGACAGTGGGTGGGAGAGAGGAAGGAGTATCCTCTCTTGGCTGATGGGGAACTGAAGGTCAGAGAGCTGGTCACCCAGGCAGCTTGCAGCAAAGCCAGGAACTGAGCCTAGATCTCCTGAGTCCCTCCTCGTTCCACTGACCCAGGGAGGCCACCAGACCCAGCAAAGAGATGGGATGAAACCTCTAGCGAGGTTATGGGGCTCGTGTTTGCCGGAGCGGGGGTGGACCTTTGGGACCTTTGCACCAGAGGGAGGTACTCGAGTAACTACAGGTCCCCTTGCGATGGCTCAGCGCTGCCCAGCCCAGCCTGGCCCAGGGCTTTTTCAATGCTGGATGCTTTCCTTCTGGATCATGTCCTGGGCCGTGAATCCCCGGGCAGGCAAAGGCGGGTGGTGTCTGTTGTGGCAGAGAGGGACGACATTACTGCCGGGCTGGAGTCCCTGCCAAACCGGAGCTGAGGGCCCCTCTGCCTGGGACCATTTCAGGTTCAAACTGGGCTGACCTGGACCCTTTAGCAGGAGCAAACTCCCTGGAGCAGGAGAAGGAACCTGGGCGAGTGTCACCCCACCGGGGTCTATTTAAATGCCCAGCGGTCTTGGGGCGCCGAGCCCCTTGCACCCCCAAAGTCCCTGGCCCTGCTTTCTGAGCCGCCTGGGGTCTGTGCGGGGCGAAGGAGTGCGCTGGCTCTGCTTCTGGGCCAGGGGCTGCGGATGGTTTGGTTTCAACTCGGGGTTGAGCAGGGGCGGCTGGATGGGCCAGCCCCACTTCTGGGTGCAGCCCTCCCGCTCCCGTGGGGGCTGGCTGGGCGGGGGGGACTCTGCCCCCCCCCCCGCAGTGGGGGAGCAAGGCGGGGGCGGGCCGGCGCCCGGCGGGTCCCCGCGCCGGAGGGGGGCTCGCAGGGCCCGGGGCCGAGCGGCGGGCGCTGCCCAGCGTCCTGAGCCGGGCCCCGGGCAGGCCGCTGGCCCCGGTGCTGAAGCCCCGCCCCGCCGCGCGGCGCTGACGTGGCCGGGCGAGCAGCCGAGCCCGCCGCTCCCGGGCCAGGCAGAGGCGGCGTGTGGCCGGCGGCGGCGGGTCTGCGGCGATGCGAGCGGGCTGCGCTCGGCTCTGCTCCCCGCCAAGCCGCCCCGGCCGAGCATGGGCTGCATCGGCTCCAAAGGCACCCTCGGTAAGCGCGGCCGGGCCCCGCGGGACGCCCCGAGCGCAGCAGCCGGGGCGGGGGGACCCCGCGGCCGCGGGATGCAGCGGGGAGGGGGCCGCGCCGCAGCCGGGCGGGGTCGCGGGCCGGCGGGAGCCGGCGCGGTTAGTATGCAGCCGGCAGGGCCGTTGCCCCGGCGCCAGTCTCCTTAGGAGACCTTCAGCTCCCCGCGATCCGCTCCCGGAGGGAGGGAGGGAGGAAGCGGCCGCGGCTGCGGACGCCGGGCCGGGCCGGTGGGGAGCGATTTCCCGCCTCGGTGGAGCGCGGCCGAGCCCGCTGCTTCTCCTGGCCCGGCTCGGCAGGCGCTGGCCGGGCTGCGGGAGGGGGCTGGCGGGGACGCGGCGCGGAAGCACCAGGGGTAGGGTCAGCCCGGCTCGGCTCGGCTCGGCTCAGCGCTGGTTCGGAGCGGGCTGGCCGGTGGCAGCGGGGCGGGACGCGCTGGGAGTCGCTGTGCCCGGTTGGCCGGAGTGCGGGGCCGGGGGGCCCCGGGCTGCTGCGCTGCGTCAGCCCCAGGGCCCCCATCCTGAGCTTGCACTGCTCGCTGAGTTGCTCGAAGTTGCTAGGAGGGAGGTGGGCCGGCCCCAGAGCTCTGCCTTGGCCGCTGCGGGGAGAAAGCCCCCGGCCTGGATGTGATTGACCCACCCCCCTTCCCCAGCGCGCAGCCCCGGAGCTCGCTCTCCCTTCCCTGCGTACCCGGCTCCCAGCAGCGGCTCTGCCAGACCCACACCCCAGTTGCTGGGCCAGGGTGGTCCTGGTGCTACTGGGGCCTGCCTTGTTGCTCTCTGGCCAGCTCGTCCCTTCTCCAGGGGGCAGCTCCGGGGCCTCTTGCTGTGAGGGTGAATCTCCTGGGCCCTGGGATTGCGGGGAGCCCTTCCCCAGACAGGGCCAGTCCCCCAAGGGGAGGGATTCCATCAGGTGGGCCGGCCAAGGCCATGGGGAAATGCCCCTGAGCCCCCACAGCACAGGGGGCTTGTTAGCTAAGGCCAGCCCCAGCCATGAAGGCGGGCAGAGGGCGGCTGGGGCCTGTCTCTATATGGACACCCTATACTGCAGCCCCTTCAAAACTCATCTGTCTCCGAGGCCTGGCAATCCTAGTCCCGGGTTAAACCACATGGTTCCCAACGTCCTGGCCAGCCGGGCTCAGCTTCTGCCAGGGTTGGGTGTACTCCCCCGGGGGGGAGGGGACCAGTCCCAGGGTCTCTTACCATGTCAGCATCATTGTGTGCAGATGCACCCAGACACCCCACTTCCTCCTCCCTGCTCTCTGAGACCCCGTCCCAAGAGCGATAGGGACTCGGGGTACTGGTGGGTTAACGGCTGCTGTGGACTGGTCGAGCACCATTACTGCCCCGGGGAACCCCACTGGTACCCCTGAGCAGCAGCTGTTCAGGGAGATTGTCTCCTCTCGCCGAGCCTGTTTTTGAGAGGAAGGATGGTCTTGTGGATAAAACCCTGGACTCAGACTCATGCCCGTAAGGGCCTGAGTGGGGCTTACGAGATGCCTAGGCCTCGTCCAGCTCTTTGCAAGGGTCGTCCTCCCCTGCCACTGCATACCTGGTGCCTCTACTTTGTCTCCTGCAGAGCCCTAGCCTGGGCCCAGGAGTCCCTGTGCTCCAGCTTCCCCAGCTCAACTTCTTGCTTTGAGGGCACTGTCCTGTGGACACCTACATCGGCGGGGGGGTTTCTGCCAATGTAGTTAATGCGCCTCTCCGGGAGTCGGTAGCCAGCTGGCTGGAAGGATTCTTCTGTTGCGTTAGCTGCAGGGATTAGGTCTGCACTTGGGGTGCAGAGAGCTTCACAGCCCTGAGGGGGTCCCTAAGCCAATCTGTTTCCTAAGTGGAGACCAGGCCTGAGTTTCTCTCATTCTCTTTGGAGGCCTCACTGATTTGCCACCCCTTGTGTCTCCGGCCCACCAGTATCCCCATCGCTCAGTGTCCCACAGCCTGGGGCACAAAGTCTGTGCTACCCTTCTTCACCATCCCATTTTGTCACCCCCTGGACAGCCTAGGGCCCCACAATACCCTATGCAACCGCTTCACGCCGAATGCATCCCCACCCCTTTGGATATATCTAGCTCTGATGACCTGTCCTTCGGCCTCTCACTGCCTTTTCTGGGCCTTTGTTTTGATCCCACTTAAGTCAATGTGGGTTTTTGTCCAGTGACATCAGTGGAAGCAGGATCGGACCTTTTCTTTCCAGTGCGCATCCAGCCGGCACTGGCTCAGGCTGTTAGGAAGGATCCCTGCTTTGGAAAGGCCCAGCACGCTCCTGTGTCTCTCAGTTTAACTCTCTGCCTCGCTGTTTCGTTTGCTCCGAGGTCTAGGCAACCAGCTGTGCCTCTAATCCAAGGTTTGAGGTAGCCTCCAGCCTGACCCTGTGTGGTGAGCTCACAACTCAGCCTAGCAGCCAGCTCCTTCACTGGCTTTAAAATCTGCCCCTTTAAAATCAACCCTGTTTAAACATCCACCTCTTTTAGGGTGTTATTACACCAGACCTCCAGGCCTGTGCAGGCCTGATCCTGCACGATCCTGAGCCCCCTCCGCTCCTGTTGAGTTGGGTCGCCATTGCGGGTGCACCGCAGGATGAGGTCCTAATTATATCTCTGGTGCTCAGTGGGTCTCCAACGCTTCCATCGAAGGCTGGTTGCATTCCCCTTTGTCGGCTCCCAAACAAAAGCTGCTCTCACCAGTCATAATCCAGTCATTTTCCCTGTTGTGCCATTCAGCCGGCTAATAGCAGGGTCATTACAATTGCCGGTGAGTCTGACTGTCCCCGTGGCTTTTGCTGCTTGGACGCTCTGAGTCCCAGGGCTTGACCCCTACCGGACCGGGAGGGTTCCTGTTACCTGGCAACTTGTAACCAAACTGAGTCGGCTTTGGTAAGCTTAGGCTGTGTAACTAGCTCCCCTCCCCATCTGTTGGTTTGTTTCACTTGTTGCATTGGGTCTGAAACCAAAGAGATAAGCTCCTCCAGGGAAGGGAATCTCTTCTACTCAGGGCGTACAGCTCCGAGCACGGTCGGGCCTGGAGCGCGCAGCTGTCCCCAACGTGGGATAATCTTTGGGTTCCTTGTTAGGTAGCGAGCGATTACCCCACCAGCCTCCCCCATGCTGATGTAACGTTTCCTTCCTGTCAAGTTTGGAGTCGTCACCATAGCCAATTGATTTTTATCATCTCACCACGCAGCGGAGGCATGAGTGATGAGCTTTGCTCCCCCCGGCAAGCATTCCAGCGAAGCCCTTTTTTGGCCTTAAGCTTTTACTCCAGCATTAGCATCAAGCCAGTTGTCACTCCCCTTGCTATGAGCTCCGTTTAGCTGACAGCTGGCTTTCGCTTGGCACAGGGCCATGCCTCACCGTGTGCTCTTAGCCTGGCTACTGGAAATGTCACGCTTCCCCACACAAGGCAGTGCGCGCTGGGAGTGACACACGGCTGGCTGGGTGGAGTCTGAGGGCTGGGGCCTGATTCTGCTCCCACTGAAATCAACGGTACAACTCCCAGGGACTTCAGGTGGAGAGCAGTATCCAGCCTGATGTGGGAGCTAGAGACCTCATCTAGGGGGACCTCCAGCTGGGGCTTGGGTCGGGAAACTCCAGCTAGGGCATGGACCTTACTGGACAGGCTGTTCTGAGAGAAGGAGGCTGCTCCTTTCTCGTCTCCCTGTCCCACAACTGACCCAGCCCCTAACACAGAAATGCTGAAACCCCCCGACTAGCCCAGCCCCTGCCTACGTCACGACATCTGTATAGTGTGTGCTCACACGTGCCACACTCAGCCACGCTCACTAGCATGACACACTTACTGTACCCCCAGTTAGATCAAATCCACATTTGCTAACGTAGCAGCAGCCTGGATACCCGCCGGGGGTCATGGATACATGGCTGTGTCCAGGCAGTGTTAGTCATAGCGGGTGTCCCATCCTGGGTCTTTGGCAGCTGTTGGACTGGCACTGTAGTGCCAGGTCTGAGACAGGAAAGGATCCCACCTCATGTACGGGATCTGTCCCCAGCCCTGGTGCCCGTGGGTCTGGTCCACACCATCAAGGTTGCAGTTTTGTAGTCCCAGAGCAGTGACCAAGGCAGGTGGGTCCTCTGATGTGGCATGGAGACAGAGCTGTGCCTCTCCCTGGCTGAGAGACGCTCCTGGCCAGGATCAGCCCCCCCCGGGGCTGGCGGGGGTGCATGAGTGGGGTACCCAGGAATGACTCCAAGTGGGTGGGTTTGAGGAGTCACTGTGGCTGTTGCGTGTGAACGTGGAGGCAGGTGTTGCATTGCCTGAGTCTGTGTGTTCCGGATGAATTTGTCACGTTCCATGTGCTTAGGGCAGTGCTGGGGGGGGGGGTGGGGGGGTCCCGGGGACAGTGCCTCCCTGCTCTCTGTCCCTCTGCCCACCCCCTCCCCAGCATCCTGGCTCTGATATACCATCTGGGGGGAGGGGGGAATGAAACCTTCCCCGTCCTTGGTCCATTCTGTGCCTCTCTTCTCCTCCCCCGCTGTTAGCAGCGGGAGGTCACCTTTGCAGGGTGCTGCGGGTCAGCCCCTGGCCCTCTCTGCTCTCCACCCTGTGGGATTCCAGTGCCGGCTGACGCACATTGCCTCTCCCTGACCCCACTCCAGCTGGCCACATGTGCCCAGAATCTCTGATGCTGGGGCTGTCCGTGCTGGGCCAGCGGGGGGAGCCTGTCCCGGGAGGAGGCGTGTGGGAACTGGCACCCGGCTGGCTCATGCCCGACACTGGGCAGGAGGCTGTCTCCTGTCCCAGCCCTGACGTGTGCTCGTCAGAAAAACTCACTGTGCCAGAAGCACCGTCTCCCCCCTGGAATATTAATGGCTCCATGGTGGGAACATTGTGTCCCTCGAATGGAGCAGGCTGTAGCAGAATGCACGTTCCTTGGAAGGAATCTTGGCTGGAAGGCACATTTCCCACCCCCCATGCAGTGGGGCTGCCCCTCACCCCTGATCTGCGGGGCCC